CCCCAAAACCCCAAAACCCCAAAACCCCATAAATTGTCAATATTGAAAATTTTGGTCAAAAATTAAAGATTTTTAGAAAATGAAATAATTAATCCTTCAGGGAAAGTTGTCTTATATTAATTGATCAATATCTGCTTCATCATTCTCATATTTTATTTTTGGAATTTGATCGTAAGCTGGTTTTTTTAGAGCAAGTCCTTCATACGGATTCAGTAAATAGCAAAACCTTTTATTCAAATCTCTTCTCTTTTTTTCAATACAGAATTATGCTAAAAACTTATCCTTAACTTCATAGGCAAAAATTGCATACCTTCTATCTATTGTCCTGGTATCATTACCTTAGTGAACAAACTTTAGAATTTTATGTTTTACTCTGCCATTAAGGAAATAGGTTAGAGTTCTATCATTAATACTTTTGAAATGTTCATCAACGATCTAATTAAATTTCATCACAAATCGTAACTTTTTTTAATCATTTTCTGAACATTGTTAAAATTAATTATTTCTCATTATAATCTCGCTTATCACCTACAATGATTTAAATAGGTATCTTGCGAAGTTACTATCAAATTGAATAATGAGCATTTTTTTATTCTTTTTTGTTTTACTCTAAGAATTTTATGTTTGAGATTACTTTTCCATATTCTATTTTTTAAATCGTTTGTAATCATTTATAAGGTCCAAAAACATAAATTCTAATATTTAGTTAATTTCCTTTAAAGTTCTTTATTTAAGTGTTTTCTTATATAGCTAAATAATTTAGGTCTTAAGATTGTATATTAAGCTTTGATCTTAACCTTAAATATTAATAATCTTATTTGCTTTTTGTATTAGCCTATCTACCCTCGATATATCAAATTTTTAAGCTTTTTAATTCAGTCTTAATTCATTTATAAAGAATCGTCTTTTTTAAGTTTTATCATCTCTCAGTCTTTAATCTTTAACTTTTAAAAATTCTTCCATAACTCCTTTCTAAAACCAACTTATCCATTAGGCATGGTTTTGAGGCCCTAGCTTTAATTAAATTTCAATTTTTTTTAGTTTGGCTCTGGTATTAACGAAAATTCTTAAGTTATCATTCTAGATATCATTTAACTCCAGCTCAATTTTTTCGATTTCTTCCAAAGCTATGACTGACTCTCCTATAATATCAAGAGCTTGAATTTTCATTAGGTGAGACAGATATTTAAAAAACTCATAGATTTGCAACCCAGATTGTAATTTATCTTAAACCTTTTTTGCATGTTTAATCTTTTTTTCCAACCAAATACTAAAATTTCCAAGTAAGTTATAGAAATCTGATATAAGATCTAAAGCAGCATCATAATTTTCAAGTTTATATTAAAACTCGAATTGAATGAATTTTTCTAATACTTTAGGGATTTTGTTTGATTTTAAGTGTTCTTCATGTAAGCTTTATATTATAGTTTTATTAGTGGTATAATGTAATTTCTGACAGAGTTTAAAATATGCTGTCATTTACTTAACTACAGCGTTTGGACAATTAGCTATTACTGATCTCTCCTTCCCTTCTTTCGAAAGTTTTCTATGATTTGCTCTGGAAATGATTGTATGATCTATCAGCAACTCATAATCATAGTCATTGTTTTACTTTTGCTACATTTATGATAAATTTTTATTAAAATTTTGATCAATTTTTTATTATGATTTTGATCAATTTCTAATATTAATTTTAAATGTTTTAACATGGGGTTTTGGGGTTTTGGGGTATGATAAATGCTTTA